AATCACCTGCTCCTCCTCATTATTGCGATCAGTGTGTCATTAGACACTTAGGTAGAAGTTCTTGGTAATGCTTTATTGAAATATAACCCGCATCTTGCACTACTCATCCTGTAGGTAAATTTTCACCCTGTTACCCAGCCCCAAAGGTTTCCACCCCCACCCTTAGCTCTTGTGGGGTGTTCTGGAGTGGGGGGCAGGGGGCAGCTGTCCCTGGCTGTGTGTGCAGGGCTGGGGCTTTCTCCCATGTTCTCTCAGACCCCAGAGTCACAGTCCCTCCCCAAGACCCTGCTGGTGGGCAAGCGGGAGGGCTGGTGGGATGTCTCTGGGCACAGCTCCCAGGACGTGAGTCCTGTTTGTCTCCACAGTCCCCAGACGGCTTCCAGGTTCTGTAAGGACTCTGCCAGGTCCCTGGCAGTGCTCTACCACGAGGGTGCGCTGCCCTGTGAGTGCCACCCCACCGGTGCTGCTGGCCCTCACTGCAGCCCCGAGGGCGGGCAGTGCCCTTGCCAGCCCGGCGTCATCGGTCGGCAATGCACCCGCTGTCGGACGGGCTACTACGGATTCCCACGCTGCAAACGTAAGTGCCCGCCCAGCCATCCGGCGGTTCTGTCCCAGGTGCACGGGCTCCTCTAGGGCAGCCTCTGTCCCAGGTGCACGGGCTCCATGGGGCGGCCTCTGTCCCAGGTGCACAGTGAGTGGAGGCAGTGCCAGGGGCGACCACGCCCTGAGCCAGAAGCCTGCAGACCTTATCTAAGACCCATCCTGCTGCCCGAGATGTAGCTTTGGCACAGAGTCTCCACATGAGACCAGCCTTGCCAACGGGTCCTGATCCTGATCCCAGCCTGGCTCAGGGCTCCATGCACTGGGTGCACTGGGGTTTGATGCACTGGGGTGCATTGGGTGCATTGGCCTGCTAGTTTGGAGCCCCTTTGGGAGCCTCCAGGGACTGCACAGGTCCCTCTGGACCTCTTGCATGGACTCTGGATGGGCCACTGCTCTCCTGTCTCCTTTTCAATCCCAGCTGTCACAGCAGGAAAGAGATGGCACGTGCACACGATTTTCTGGAAGGACTTTGGCAAAGGGACTGTTGACAGGTGTGAGAGCAGGCAGCCAGCCAACCAGGGAGGTGGCACCCCAGAAACAGACCATCCAAGGTCGCAAGGGGGCGGGGCCACATGAACATGCAATAGTGGGCACATGAACAAGGGGGTGGGGCCACGTGAACACACTGGAGAAGTCGCCTGAGGATGGAGGAGGGGCCCCGTGAAGATGGAAGGGATGCAGCCGGGAGCCCCCAGAAGCGGAAGAGGCAGGAAGGACCCTCCCTGGCGCCCTCTGAGGGAGCACAGCCCCAGATGCCCTGATTTCAGATTCTGGCCCCAGAAGGGGGACAGCACGTGTTCCTGTTGGTTGAGGCCAGTCTGTTGTCATGGGAGCAGCAGCCCAAGAAATAGATCCTCCTTACCCTCCTTCTGGGGCTTTGACCGGGTTCTGGGAACAGCTGGGCCCTGTTCCCCAGCAGGGGAGACCCCCCAGACCTCCCCTGGCAGGACTCCCGGGGAGACCATCCCTGTGTCTGTGCCTCGGCCCTGCCTCCCGCTCCCCGGGCTCCTGGGCAGGGACAGTGCAGTGGGCGCACCAGGCAGCTGCT